CTCATTGGGACATGTGAAGGGAGAAACGTAAAAGCCAGGTCTTAATACAAGTAAAACATGTGCACATGTGGGTAAAGTGTATAAGCCTTGTTAGGTGTGTTTATTTACCAAACGCAAGGAGCCATTACTTCAAACATTGGGTGTTTCTCAATAGCAAGAATGCAAATATCATACCTATGTTCTTGGCAAGAGTGGTCTTGCTAACTTGCCTCTCAAGAATGAACTTGCAAAGAATCTCATTGGTGAGGATCTAACCGATACATTCTTGCTATTTGGAACGGGACAAGTACATCCTCTGTACTTTTGTTCTTAGTGTTGTAACTGGTCTTTGGCTATGGAAGATGACGCCAAACGGGAATGCGAGAACATGAGGACAGTCAAGTACGCATACTGATAAAGACCCAATGTGCCCTTGGTACCAAAATGGCCAACACATGGGCATGAAGACTATTCTTTCAGGCAGATACCAGAAACCGATGGTGAAGAAATATTATTCACTTAGCTCCAGACTTTACAGTGCTGGAACACTGTCCTTACAGTACATCTGCGCCACTGCCGATGGGTCATGCACTCCACTCAGCCCTGCAAATGAGCAGTTCAGCACTCTGTTCCCCCAGATTGTGGTGAAAATCCCCACAAGAGACAGCTCCTGCAAGAACGCCTCATCCCTTTCGTTTTTTAAAGGCAGCAAGTAAATGTACATGAAAGTAACAAGAGGACAGCAGCTATCCACAATGCCTGAGGTCCATGATGAGCCGAAAGATTATGCTCACAGGGGCCAGTTATCAAAGGAGCATGCTATCTGAGCATTGACAGGGCAGTTCATCACAGAAACAGAAACGCTTCCCGATACCGCATTTTGACTGTGTTTATGGTATACCTTTCTCTTGCTTCTTTTTTGAAATGTTCATTCATGAAGAACATTAAAATATATTTAAAGCAAGTTTGTTTTACATGCATTTAATAGAATGAATTGTTAACTCATCATACATAGATCGTGAAAACTGAAAAATAAATATTTATGATTGAATGGAGGAGCTGGGTTGTGGATGTGGCATCCATCCACTCTCTGGATCTGTTTGTCCTGTTTGGAGGGGGTCTGAGGGGCCATCACAGCGCCATCATAGGGCACACACATTACAGGGCCATCACAGGCCACACACATCACAGGGCCATCACAGGGCACACACATCACAGGGCCATCACAGGGCACACACATCACAGGGCCATCACAGGGCCATCACAGGGCCATCACAGGGCCATCACAGGGCACACACATCACATGGTCATCACAGGGCACACACATCACATGGCCATCACAGGGCACACACATCACAGGGCCATCACAGGGCACACACATCACANGGCCATCACAGGGCACACACATCACATGGCCATCACAGGGCACACACATCACAGGGCTATCACAGGGCACACACATCACATGGCCATCACAGGGCACATACATCACAGGGCACACACATCACATGGCCATCACAGGGCACATACATCACATGGCCATCACAGGGCACACACATCACAGGGCCATCACAATGCACAAACATCACAGGGCACACACATCACAAGTGGGTCCATCCACTTTATACTGTCCATCCACTTTATACTGCATATTTTATTGATGGCTGAGCCCTCTGCTGTGCTCCCTGTTCACATATGACCCTGTGGCTATATACAGCTCTAATTCCATCATCAAGTTTGCTGATGATATCACCACTGTGGGTAGAGTGATGTCCAGACAAAAACTTCACCCCAATGTCAGCAAGACCAAGTGTCTTGTCATCTATTTCAGGAAGCATGAGGCAGGCTGTGGTCCCATTTACATCAGTATGGAAGTTGCGGGCAAGGTCAGCAGCTTTAAGTAAGTTTAAGTTCAAAGTCATAGTCATGGTCACATGGTCACAACATTGGCAGCAATCAAGAAGGCAAAACAATGTACGTACTTCCTCAGACACCTAAAGAAGCTCCTGATGTTGCAAGTAGACGTCACCAGCTTCTAGAGATGCTTGACAGACTCCATCTTTGCCGCATGCATTAAATTGTGGTATGACACTTGATAAGCTGGGGATCTCAGTAGAATGCAGAGGGTGATGACGACTGCTCACACTGTCCCCGTAATACATCTGCCTTCACTTCAAAACATTTTCAACGCATGCTGCAATCAGAAAGGTAGGCAGCATCTCTGCAGACTCTAGTCACCGATTAGAAAAAAAAGGTAGAATAAGCTGATGATCGCTTAGCAATACCTGTTATTTCCCTGCTTCTTCTGTATTATTTTTTCTCATTCATCATTTAGTGTTATATATTATTTGTGTTATTTATTGTCTGCATTGCCATTTCTGTTATTATTGTCTCATCTTGCTACTCATTGTTATTCTTTGCATTATTAATTGTAAGTAGTGAGGAGACACACCAGTAAGCACATTAAGTACATATGACAATAAACCTGTATTTGAAATGTCACCTCAATGCATGAACCTTAATATTGCTTACATTTCAATTATCTCCTACACCTGACTGGCTCTGTTGCCTTCCCATCTACAGTATGCAGAAAACATCAAAGCCAAAAGAAAATCGAAGGGAACATTCTGTGACCGGCTATCCCTCTCCCCCTCCTGTTTCCCAAGCCACAGAACCGCTAGTCACAACCAAACTTTAATTGGAGCTACTTAACCCTTCCACTTGAAACCATCTATACCACAAGGTTGGGATACACTATGAGGATGATGTCAGTCCATCACAGGGTACACACACTCACACACTCAATCATTCTTTATGAGCAATTCAGAGACGTCAGTTAGCCTAACCGTATGTCTTTAGACTGTGAAAGGGAAGCAAAGAAAGCTTCAAAAATTTGAACTGTGAAGCCTTTGAGAAGAAGCTGTAAAACTCACTGAAGAATGCAAAGTTTACTATAAGGGCTCATACAAAACCTAGGAGAATTCTGCTGAAATTGGTCTGTTAAAAGTATTGGAATATATTCAAATTTGTAACTGAAAATACATGGAACATCATATCCACCCCATACTGCTCATTTTTGGGAAGACAACAAGTGAAACATCGGCCCTACTACAACCTAGGATTACCTTTGCTTTCATCACACTTTACAAACCGTCATTTTAATAGAGGCATATGTACTACATACAGTATAGCATGAAATTCCAAATGAAAGGTAACCTGGAGGTAACCGTTTAATCTAACTTAGAATTCATTGAGAATTGAAGTAAATAGGTAGCGGTAGCTAGATTACCATGATTACCATGCCCTCCAGTGCCAAGTTAATATATGGATAAGTAACCAGCACTTTGTCCTCCATGCCGTTATCTCCAGGAAATGGTTGGATCTGGTCCAAGACTGAACCAATAATGACTTTATCGTATTCGTCATCATAATCACATCAGACAGTATCTTTTCAAGTAAAGTGTTTAAAAGCAGTATGGTGCTTCTGCTGTTTCATGTTATGATGTAGTCTTTGACCTTGGGCGGGGTGGGGGGGGGAACAGATGTATTCAAACAGGGAGTCATGTGATGTACACCACCATTCTTAGAACTGCAATTTCACTAACTGGATGTAAAAGTCAAACTCATGTAGTTAGCAGAATACCTGAAATACAATACTTTTTCTTTAAGAGCGTTGTTCGGCTGGGGGGAAAAAAAAATAAAAAATCATTAACCTCCTAGAAATGCGGATCTTCTTGATTTTTCCAGGAACCTATTAGCATTTCTCATTTGAAATGTTTAAATCTCAGGAAGCAACCAAAATCAGTGCACATTTTTCAGTAGATATATGTATGCAATTATTCCTATGCAGGCATTTATCATGTCCCTGGAATAAAGCCAGATTACTTGCTAGTAAAGTGGAAGTGACTAGAATGAATTAGGCACCAGAGATATGGAAAGGAGCATGCGGGGACCAGCTCTGGCATGTACTGTAGTCGGATAAGCACAGGGAGACTTGGGAGCAGGTGCATTTTCATAATGGAAATTTGGGGCCTCCGCACAGCTAATCAATGTCTTTGACAGGTGAGAACAACCATAAATCACCTACAGAGTATCCCCAATGCACTCTTCCACAATCTGGCTGACAACAATAAAACAGTTTTGACAGAAATGTGGTTCCTAGAGAGACAGTCAAAACAGCTAGACGTTAACTATAGTCTATCGAATAATGGAATCATTGTTTTTATGTACTGGCATGGAGACAGCAAGAAGCATTGTTGTTTAACACAGGAAATGTTAGATGGGACTTTAAATGTTTTCAGATTCCTGCTGGATTCAATATATTGACACAAATATACTGGATATTGGATATGATCATCAAAGTAGGATCCAGTTGAAGATACTGTTTCGTACCTTGATCAGCATTCTGCTTTAATTTTAGACAGCCTGGTATTCTGTAAATATCCCAGTATTAGTAATAGGTATTAATACAATACAAAATCCTGCATAGAGTGCACTATACAGGGCATCGGATGTTCAGGATGGGTTTTACGTCTTCTAACAACTGCTCACACTGTCAATGGGATACACCTGACAATTACATCCATGCTCTTTGGTTCTGCTCAGATGTTCTGGGGCAGGATTTGTGAGGACTTATCAAAGTGTCTGAAATGTACCATTGCAGCCTCTCCTTCAGTCTGCTTGTTGGGCGACCTAGATGGTGTCACTAGAGAGATTAACACAATCAACATGGCTTTCACCGCTTTATGCATTGCTAAGAAGACTGTCCTCATGAACTGGAAAAATAAAAATAATCTTAATATCAACCAATATAGAGATAGTTTGCTGGACCATATTAGTCTTGATACAGCTTCTGCCGTCACATTAGATCAATCTCTCTGGGCTCCTTTGATCAGCTCCATCATCTAGTGGCGGTGGAGGGTCGCAGGTTTGTCCCGCTTCGGTCTTTGTTGCTGCCGTGGGGGGGGGCATATGGGTTTGGGGTGTCTGGGGGTTCCCTAGGGGTGGGTTTCTGGAGGGGTTCAGCACTGGGACTGCGGTCCTGGCCTGGATGGGGCTTTGGTGGCTCTTGGGTGGTGTCTTTTTGGCGGCTGCATGCAGCGCTGCTGGGGTAGCCTGTGTCGGCTGACGTAGGTTGCCGGCCTGGCGGCCGTGCTGCTCCTGGGTGGGTCCGGGGCGGGCTTGCGGTTCTGGAGGCGCTCTGCCTCTGGGCTGGGGTTCCGGCTGGGCTGGGGGGGCTTTGGTCCTGGTGGGTGTTTCGCCGGGATGTGGGCCTTCGGCGCGTCGGTGAGGCTGTGGGCCTCTTTAGCTGGCGGGGAGGTTGTTACCATCCCTGCCTTAGGGGTATCAACCTGGGTGTCTATTGTCTTATGTAGTCTGGTAGTTGACTGAATGGTGGGGTGGGTATAGTTTTTCCCTCTGTGGTGGGGTCTGGTTGGCTGCCCCGGGCTCTGTGGTGCCGGGTGGTGCCGCTGCTCGGGGCCCCGGTCTGGATGGGCCTGGACCCCCCGCCCTGGGTGGATTTCGGGGAACAGGGGTGCTTATGGGGGTCAACAGGGGAGCTGGCTTCAGAGGGGGGGTACTTTGCCCCCCCTGATCCTTTCCTCCCCATCCCTAAATGCTTCCCTCCTC